AAACACATCGCTTGCAGTTGTCCACAAAGACCTGTTGCCAAGAAATTGAACAAAGGTGCACTGATGCCTCAAGACAAAAACAGGAGTCTCCGAAGTCGAGCCATTGAGTCTGAAGTCAAACAAGAGGCAGGTTCTGGATCAAGCGCAAAGCCTTTGGGAAAAACCAGAGCCCGGAGCTCTGAGCCAATTGAGAATGAAGCTCTACCAGCAATTAAAGGAAAAGAACCTCAGGTACGTACAAAGAGGCCAGCCTTGAATATGGACAACACTGCCCCACAAACTAAGAAAGGCAAAAAGAACAATGAGCCACTGACTTCCATTGCTCCTGCAGTTACTGATGACTCTTCAACACGTCCACCTTCTAAGATGCAACGTGGATCTAAAGAGGTTGTTGCCAAGAAGGAGGTTGTTGTCAAGAAGCAAGTTGTTGTCAAGAAGGAGGTTGTTAAGGAGGTTGTTGTGAAAACGCACCAGTCTAAAAAGGAGGAGCGTTTTTCAGCAAGGACACGGGAGAGAAAAGGTGGTCCGGTGACACGCAGCGTACAGATTGCTAGTGCTTCAGCTCCTTTGGAATTGAAGACTGAAGACCTCTCAAACCATGAACCAGGGCAGTCTGAGGTAATGCAGAAATTCATTATTAATTTATATAATGTGATTTATAGTTACATTTTATAGTTGTGAGTTTTTGATTTCATCATGTTTTTTTCTCTTATGTTTATTTCAGGAGCCTCTATTGAAGTTAGCCAGGTAGAACTCCACGTTCTCTAAAGGATTGCTTGAGTTAATGACTGGAAGGGGAACTTCTTTCAACTGAATTGGATTACCTTGATCATAGCCTGAATGTTCAGGGGAACCAGGAGTTATCTCCCTGCTCATCTTTTGTGTTGGCCCATTGGAAGTATCTTCTCAGTGCACTTTTATAAATAATCCTTTGGATGTCTAACACCCTCCCCAAGTGGACTAAAGAATATGATAAATAAATCTCAATCAAGCATAATATTACTTATGTAATATTTATAAATGTTGACCTTCTGGTTTTAAGATATTGCAAGAGGCAATCATTCAACAGTTTCTCTTAGGCTGATTGACCATGTTTAATCTGTAAGGTTTTCGGATCCAGCAGTCTTCTAATGCATGTACTTCTGTATACAGTATGATTGGACTGATCCTTTCTCCATGTCTGTACTCCATTTTGACCTGCTCCTCTTTTATTGAGAGAAATTATTTGAAGAAGAGTATATATATGTATATTTAAGTAAATGTAATCCTCCACAGGGAATGTTTATCATACTGAGGCTCTCATAATCTGTGAGGCTTTTTTGTTTTTACTTTGTTGTTGATGTTTTTGTTTATTTTGACACAGTAAATGAATTGAGCTGTTTGATACAGTCAGAGTGAGCAGGAGAGAACGGTTTGCTGTATGTAAAAGGTGTTCGACCTTCACCTGAACCAGCCAAAACCATAAGCCGTTTTATTCTTTTCTTTTCTCTGTTCCTTTTGTAATCTACAGATTCTACAGCAGGGCTGCTGGCCATTAAAATTACACTAAAACTTCAACTGGGAATGACGAACTGTCTTCTGCACTTGCATGAGATTAATTAAAAGTTGTAAGTGCCATTATTACAACCCAAATTACCGTATGTAATTGCCTATTACATACATATTGCATATTAGTGATCTGGTAAACCAGGTTGCTTGTTTCTATGAAAAGCACTTTATTTAGGCTAATTTGCCTTTTATGGATTTCTCAAAGTTTGAGGTGATTTTACAATATGTGATGACACCTGCTTGAAAACTAAAAACACCTTTAATTTTTACTGGTATGCTTATGTACGTCACACCCTGAGTCAACCTCAGAAATTTGCTTCCAGTCTATTAAGACCTAGTTAATCTCGCATTATTAATATAATTAGCCGTTATTGCCATGACACCATCACAAGCACTCAGACTCTTTGGTAACCAAGCATTACACAAATGTTTTGTTTTTATCGTTTCCCATTTTATAAAATGGATAAGGCCTCTCTGCTTTAATAGAACATCAACTGCACTTAATTCTTAGTGGTCTACCTCCTGGCAAGCTTTGAACTGATGCGTTTTCTGCCTTTGGACAGCGCAATCCCTCTCACTCCTAAGCCTGTCTCTGCCATGTCATTTTCACTTTACAACCTGGACAATGAGGACAGGTATCTAAACAAGTTCTGAATGCTTGAAATGGGTTTTTTTTAAGCAAGGAACTTATATTACAATATTTCCATTTTGCAGTATGTCTTTGCTGTCCTGCATTGATATATTTTTGGGAATGAAATGTTGGCAGTGTTTTGTGATTATGAATAATAACCTTCACAAATGTAAAATGCATTGTCTTAATTGATATATATATATATAAAAAAAATTAATGTATACTTGATTTTAGCTTTTAGTTTGCTTCAGTGATACTTCAGAATGTATACAGAGATAAGGTACCTGTCAAATTAATTTTTCACAAATGTTTTTCAATTTTTAGTATTGATCATATGCATATCACTATCCATTGACCGCATTGCTTACTGACTTATCCAAGCTTTTGCATTACCTATTTCTGTTAGTACGTAATCACATTCAGATTTTTTGTCCATGTCCGATATCAGTACGTTTTCTTTAAATCGCCTGGCTTGTGAAATTGAACCTGTCTTATCGAGAGCTCGATCTTTCCAGCAGGATTCAAGTTTTATTGTGGCTTTAAGAATCTCGTGTTTGACCATCAAAAAAGCCATTTGAGTGAAATAGAGTTCTCTTCTAGGCTAGCTAACCCTGAGTAAATACTCATATAGCTGTAAGGACACTAATAACACGTCTGTCTTGCCAATTTTTAAATGAAGAATAGAATATTGAGTGCAAATTTGTTCTGTTTCACAGGAGAGATCTTCATGTAGCAGGGAAAGCAAATCTTGTTTATGTTTCCCCCATGCCATGGTGGCGTTCTTTATGGTTCCTCCATGCTGTGTATTGGGGAGAAGAGGTGCATGATGATATGCTCAGCTTGACAGGATGAAATATTGCCTCACTTAATCCTGACTGCTGTGCAAGGTAGCATAGCCCTAGTCATAAAAATGCAGCTTCCGAGTTGGTCGATGCATTACATTAAGATGAGGAAGTGACGCTTAGGTTAGAAATCATCTCCTTTATAATTTCTCCAGACCTATGTTTTATTAAACACAATATTTTTTTTACTTCTAGATATCTCAAAAGTTTTGCTGTCATATATATTTTAAACTTTTTCTGTTAATGCTTAAATGTTTAGTTGCATTTGCTATCCTTCAAACTTGTATATAAAAATGAAGATTTTTTTTTTTAGGTGGGAGTTACATTACATTTATTGGATTTATCAATTAGGAATTGACTGAATTATGAAACAGCAGAATACAGTGCGAGGTTGTTAAAACCGCCTCAATTTTGGCATTTGGTTAACATTAACCGGTAGCCTGTGTGACCTAAATGACATCTGTGGAAAAATTAAGTAATTTCAGAAGAGCAAGATTTTGATTTAAACTCTTTGATACCTTATGCACCAATTAATTGTTCTTATTAAGACCAATAACTTGCATTAATTATGTAAATGAGGTTTTGACCTTGCTATAGTTTTATTGATCTATGTATTGCTGCAAAATATTACTTCTTCCCTACGTTCAGGGACCATTAGAAATAGCATTGCCTTACGTAACTAGGTAGGCCGAGGATATGTTTGTGCTGATGTACATGCTATCAAATACCTTTCTGCCTCTCTGAGGGGAGCAGAAGAACAGTGAAATTGAGAGAACAGAATCACTCCTCGGCAGGGAGAGAGAGTGATCTGTTCTGGCAGGGGAGTGTATAGGAGGAACAGCTCTACCCTTCCCAGCTGACAGCTTACTATCTGCATGTCTCTTCAGTTCACGTTCAAAAAGAATTTGATTTGAGCGAACCTTCAGTTAGACAGAGGGATTTAATTCCAGCGAGCTCCAGCCACTTGGCATCTGCCTGGTCTGTCAGTTGGAAGCTGTGAAACTAACTGTGCCTCTTGTCACAACTAAATTTCAGAGTTTTGCTGATAGAAAAGGAAGAAAAGAATGTTAAATCACCTTTTCTTTCACCACTCTGGCACCGCAGGATGTCCTTGTGGAAACCAGTCACCTTTCAACTACACGACAAGCTGATGTAGCTGGATGTTGCATAACACCAGGTTGACCGTGTTTCCTTTTAAAACACGAGGATATGGTTGCACTTGCAAATCTTCTATTTTCTTAAGGCAAGGAGCAGATCCGACTATCACACTGACCTGACACACAGCTTCCAAAATCTGACGAATGGGAAAACCGCTAAAAAATAATGCTGAAGTGTTTCCTCCTCCCAAAGGTTATAAAAGAACAAAGTAGATAGAAGTACTTTCTTTTTTTATCTAAAAAATTTAGCTAGGTAGGATTTTCACAGCTCTATTGGATGAATAATTTGTCACAAGGAAAATTGAAGGTTACGCTTTATATTAAGATTATGTTGTTATGGTATAGGCCTAATATGGGTTAAGGATAAGGGTTTGATTTAGGGTTAGTTGCTTGTAATATAGCCTAGTAAGTACAAAACCTGTGACTACGTCGCGTTAAAATAAAGCGATACCAAGTTGAAAATGTGCATAGGCCTATAATATAAAAGATAAAAATGTAACATTTAGATGGATTGGTTGAATAATTATTTAGAAATTAATGTTTAGAATGTGTGACGATGTCACGAGTGGCATCTGTATGATATGTTTCCCTCCAGGTTTGATATTTTGTTATATAATGCAGACATTCCTACGTGTCCAAGTGTACATGTTGGGTGTCACTGTAGGTGAACACTTCCCCTAAAGATTTCTCATTGTATGTCAATTGTTATTTTTCCACCCATGGGTAAGTTACCCAAAATGAACTTTCCTTTTCAACTTCTCTCTCCTCCACAGGGGGAGGAATTAAAAAGTAGAGCTGCAAGAGTTGCAAAAAAATCTTTTCCCTGCAGCCGCGCCTCTTATGAAACGGATCATCGAGTTGAGAGGAGCGAGCAAGCAATGAAAGGGAGGGGTAGAGCCGAGGCAGAGGGAGGAGAGAAGAGGGCACACGCACCCGATCAGAGCACAACAAACGGCAGTCCACCCTGAGCCTGGGGGAACCGAAGGCTTCTCACTCCGTCAGCAGGACAGAGCACACTGGACCAGGAGCTTCAGACTCTGGAGAAACCTGCCAGCGAGGCACAACCTCAACACATGATCATAGAGCAGCAGGAAAAGGCAAGACATCATTGCTCTGATTCTCTCTCTCTTTCAAGCTCGCTCTCCGCACACACTCTCACTCATTCTCCTTGACGCACACAGACACACTCCCTCATTATCTTGCATGTGAGTGAGGCTATTTCTCTCCATCCTGAGCAGAAACCTCTGTGCTATTCTTACACAGCTGCAACGTTGCTCCAGCTGCCGTTTTCAAAGGGAAGTGAAGGCAAACCGGGGCTTTTCTGCGTGGCGTGTCGTTCAGAGACTGACCCATCAAGCCTAGTGGGACATCCCAACCATGGAGAACACTCTCACCTGTACTCCCACCACCTTTTCCCAGGTCTTCGGCCGGCAAGGACAGCTGATGCAAGCTAGTAAGTACCCGAGATCTGTCATATTGGGACCAAAAAAACGCACTTTGCCAGGTTATGTCAATTTGTAGGCCTGGGGGTAGTAAATATGAAGTGGACAAGTGCTTGCTTATGCTCTGTGAAAGCTCTGCTGGTGAGACCATGGTCCACTGCATATCCTGATCTCTTGGTTTAGGCACCCAGCATGCAGAGAGAAACCCAGCTCTTCTTCCCCGCTGCTTTCAGCCCGCTAATGAGCTGCACACAGTCAAGAAATGTGTCTGCGGGTGTGCATCTCTCATCTTGCTTATGGATATAGTGATCTTAATAAGTCAGTCATGAGGGCTGGGGCTGAAAGAGCAACATGAAAGTTAAGTCAAGCTAGATTTTTTTTTTTTTATGGAGAACTTCACCAGTGTAATTCTGAAAAGCAATAATTCCTTGACAGCTTCATAAATATTGTACTCCTAAGCATTGATGAATTATGAATTTTGTCTTACAAAAAACTCCCTGTGCTATAAATAGATGCCGCTTCATAACTTATGTCTCACAGATTGTACTTCTGCATTTAATAGCTTTGTACAGGTTTTGTATGGAAGTGGCTTGTACAAGATTACCAAAATACCTCTGATCCTTGTCTTAATTTAGAATGGAAATGGAAACTAGTGACAAATTAGCTCAAGACAACTCATAAAAATTTGGAATTAAACACATGTAACATATTCAAGTTTATAATAGATAATATAATTTAATATAAATAATATATTAAATCTTTAATTTAATGTGTAAAACATTTAACATACATACACTGTATGATTTTATTTACATGCCAAAACACAAACTGATCACACACTCTTTTACACCATGAGTTTTTAAAATAATATTTAATATTCACATATTTTAATTTATTTTTCATTTATTATATAAAGGAGTATGACTTAAAACCTCTTTACATTTATTGTACTTTTTATGTATTATTATTATTATTATTAGTTTAATAATTGATCAATGCTTGAGAGTGAGACTGCAATATTTATAAAGCTGTCAAGAATGTACTGATGATAGTTTTTGTAAACTAACTAGCTTTAACATTATTTTAGAGTACTTCCATAATGTTTTTGTAGATATCTCTGGCTTATATCAATATCTTATATTAGCTTATAGCAGCTTAGATGTCGGTGGAGAGCAATTAAATTAAAGGAATCGTTCACCCAAAAATGAAAATTATGTCATCATTTACTCACCCTCAAGTTCCAAACTTTTTTTTTCTTCTGTTGAACACAAAAGAAGATATTTTGAAGAATGTTGGGAACCAGACAGTTGACTGCACCCTTTGACTTCCACTGTAGGGAAAAAAAATACGATGGAAGTCAATGGCTACCGTCAGCTGTCTGGTTCCCAACATTCTTCAAAATATCTTCTTTTGTGTTCAGCAGAAGAATGAAATTCATACAGGTTTGGAACAACTTGAGGGTGAGTAAATGATAACAGATTTTTCACTTTTGGGTGAACTGTCCCTTTAAGGAGACTTGCAGCAGGACGCAAATGACTCAAACAGCAGTTTGTAAATGACCGTGATACTAGCGGCAATGACAATCCAAGCTGATTTTAATTTGATGTCTAATTCGATGTCTCTACACATTAACATGACAATTAGCAGAGCAATGCCATGCTGCTGAATATCTGTTGAAAAAAAAATGATACGTTCTTCTGGGAGAGTTTTAAAGAACGTGCATCTACATATTACAGCAATCCTGGAGAATATCAGACAGTGATGATGGTCCATTCTGGAGTTTATTATTACATATACATTTGCCTTCGTTTTTGATAAATGCTTTCTTTCCAAAGCAACTCACAGGATTGCTTCCACGTGTAACGATACAAACTAAAAGGGTTGTAATGCTAAATATAGGTTTTGCAAACATGCAAATTTTATATTCCATGTGATGATATGGTTATCATCATGCATAGAAAAATACCATGCAGATGTAGCCAATGTCATTGGGTTTTACGCCATGATTTCAGTTATTACCTCCCCAGACTGTGCATGATTTTTTTTTGGAAAGGATATGTCCTTAAATTACTTCCTCTGGGTGAGAGATTTCTGCACTTTAAACCACTAGAATCTAATTTAAAGTTAATCTTTACCCACAGTAAATGCATGCTTGCTGGAAAAGTTTGTCAATTTTGTGTGCTAAAAAATGTGCATTATCGGAGTGGTAGAGTGTGTGTTAGCAGGGTGTTTGGTGGGAGGAATGGCAGCAGTGAAACGGGACGGGTTGGGGGTGTTGGGTTTGTTTGAATGAAAGTCTCTCTCTCTCTCTCTGTTCGCTCTCCAGAAATAGAAGAAAACTTTTATAAATAATGCCCTTTGTTTGCTTTATTTCTGTGAACTCATTAGCTGTTTGGTATGCAGGGATGTATTAGTGTCTGCAGAGTGTGTGACATTGCCATGATTAATATTCTGCGTGTGGCTTTGGAGCGCTGAAACCCCCTTTACTGAATTTGTGTTTCTGAAGTGCCTAAAGATGAGACTCCTCTGCAATATCTGAGCCTCAGAGGTGCCGAAACACTGTATACCATCAGCCACTTCTCTGTGGCTCTTTGCTTTGAATGTCTCACATTCTGGATCATCCATAATGATGAGATTTTGTAGTTTCGAGACATTCTGATGTCTCGCTCCCCGTGGACGCACTGGACGTGGATTTTTCTGAAGTTTCTGCCTTTATAAACAATGAACTGATTTGAGAGGTTTTTTTTTTTCACTAAAATATTAATTTTTCCCTTTTTTTCTAATTTGCATTAAAGTCTTCCCAGAGGAGGATGTGGTTCTTTTCGGCGCACTTTCACCTCGAACAATTTTCTCTTTTAACATCGATCAAAGTGCCCTATGTTTGCTCCTTAAGTGTTTTTAAAGATCATCTTCAAGCGATGCAAAAGTATCCACAGTGCAGATTTCATTGGCATGGCGCGCCACTGCTTTTATGTTCTGTGTTGGTGTTTATATGGGTATGCATGAGCATGGCTGAGATCCAAGTCTATGAACTCACCCGCCGACACACAGACTGTTTTGGCTGACGTAATAGACGTGGCTGGACCGGGCGGTGAGTGTGGGCTCATTTGTGTGTGTGTGTGTCTGCAGATGTTAGTGATAGCACAATATGCAGCACCAGTGACTGTAATAGGAGTTACACGGTCTCGTGATGGACCTCTTTTCCTTCACTGCATGTTTGATAGAGAAGTGCTTACTGCAGAAATACGCCTCGACACGGCATACAAATTATGAATACACATGCATACATGCTTATATTTATCACATGTCTCTCTGGAACACTTGATTTTGATTGGTCAAATATTTTTTTGTATAATAGCCATTGATTTGTAGTAGTGCCAACCGATTTCCTACAATATGCCAGTTTCATGTCGCATCACACCACTCTCTTTTTTTCTCACAGAATAAAATAATTTCAGCTCAGATCAATATTTCATGTCCATTTATGTGCAATAAATAATAATTACTGACTGTACATTAACTCTTAATGGGTTAGTTCACCCAAAAATAAAAATGATCCCATAATTTACTCACCCTCAAGCCATCCAAGGTGTTCGTCAATATGTCATTCGTCGGGTCAGAGGTCACTCTTCGGCCGGAACTCGACTCGTGTACGGCCGTTACCGGAAGCCAATGATTATAGTTTATAAAGTTATAAATATGGCCATGATTCCAGTTTCATATAAATATTTTTCTTACAAAAACGCATCGCTTCGCTTCAAAAGGCCTTTATTAACCCCCGGAGTCGTATGGAGTACCTTTTTGATGGATGGATGTGCTTTTTTGGGCTTCAAAATCTTAGTTATTATTCACTCCCATTATGGTGGTTGAGGAGATTCCCCCTTCTATGTGAAGCGCTTTGAGTGCAGAGAAAAGCGCTATATAAATGTAATGAATTATTATAAAGCTTAAAGAACTAGGATCATTTTTAATTTCACTCCGATTTTTGGCTGAAAGAAGAAAGTATATACCTTGGCTTGAGGATGAGTAAATGATGGGATAATTTTAATTTTTGAGTGAACTATCCCAAGTATTTCTCCATAATTCTTATTTATACCTAATGAATAACGCACAACCAGTTTTAGACAAAAATATGTAACAATTTGTCATTTGTAAAAAAAACAAGCTGGGATATATGTAATGATTATCTGTTATACTCTCTCTGTGAGGCTTGGTTGACCAGAAAGCATAGAAATCAGGTTCTTTTGCACCGAGCCCAAGAATAAGTCACCTTTCTGCATCATTGGCCCAATGTAAAGGAGGTAATATAGCAGTAAGAAAAAAATAGCATCAGCAGAATTGTCTAGAAGTTCTTTTCTGCCGTCACCTCTAACAATAAAGAGAGGGCCGATCTGTGTCCCTCTGGAAGGAAGTCATGATCTTGTCCTAAAGTCCTATATTTGTGCAGACAGAGCATAATCAGAGCTCTAACATTGACGCCAAAAGATACTTGGACACCAAGGCCAATCTTAAAAATATTTGAATATTATGGCATTACGTAGATAACAAAATAGCATATAAAGTAAAATAATTCAAACACTAACAATATTTAAGAGATGGCACAAGCACATTTCACAATAAAAATGCTGAGGAAAAAATATATAATTATTATATTTTCCAAAAATGACTCAAATCTGAAAAATGCTATACATAATTTATTATTTATTTGCAGATAACATTTGTTGATATTTTTACATTTTTTTTTACCCGTTTCTCATCTATTGTGAAAATAAGTTTTGGGTCCATTGCATATAAAACACTATACAACATTGTTGTTGTCATATTTGACATATTTTGAAAGTTAGTAGTTTCTGCTACTGGCATGTTGTTAGTTGCAATGTAATGACAAACAACACAGTGTTGCCACACACACAGCTTGCATATTAATCTGACTATTCCTCCCATATGTTTTCAGGCATATTTTCATGGGACATTAGATGCTTACAGACTGTCACTTTAATATTGTACATAT